CCTCCCACAACATAAGAAGCAAAGCTGGCACAACTGGGGGCCGAATTCACACCGGCCAGCCGGTTTGGTACAGCTGATGCGGCCGCGATGGCGGTTGCCGACGGGAACTGGCGAGCGCGTGTTGAATGCCGCGCACGCATTGCCAGACGAGTCGAGAATGGCCCGGTACACCGCAGGAAGCCAGAGGTGGCCGGAGGAAGCCCGACGGTCTGACAGGACACCCCAAAGCATTTTTGTGAAAAAGCATTGGTTTTTTGATGTGTTTATGTTGAAATGCTTGCAAACACACGGTGTTCGGTAGGATTCTGACATGAACGCGCGAGTGTGCTCTTTGTGGTATTTTTTGCACAGGATTCGCGGCCTGGGTGCATGACAAAGCATCGCGAGTGCACCGCGCGATGACGTGAAATCGCTGGATTTGACAGAATTCTTAAGATTCCGATGGTTTTCCTATGATTTCAGCAAGAGAGCCCGGGCGGGAAATTTGTACAAGTTTTGTGAAAAAGCATTGGGTTTTTGATGTTTTTATGTTGAAATGCTTGCAAACACACGGTGTTCGGTAGGATTCTGACATGAACGCGCGCGTGTGCTCTTTGTGCTATTTTTTGCAATGGATTATCGCCGTGGACGACAGGACGTCCATGTCGAGAGGAAAAAATAAGAAAAATGCTGATTTTGTATTGTTTTTACAAGTTAGGATGGGACCACCCGGATGCGCCCGCTATCTGCCGGCCTGAGGGGGGAGTAGGAGTATATTCTAATAAGGAATAAGGATAGGAGTAGGTGGAGGAGGAGGAGGAGGAGGAGGAGAAGGAGGAGGAGGAGAGGAGGAGGGGGAGGAGGAGGAGGAGAGAGGAGGAGGAGGAGGAGGAGGAGGAGGAGGAGGAGGAGGAGCCGCTGGAGCAGCCCTGGAGGAGGAGGACGCGACAGCCAGCGCTCTCTTCCCATTTCCGCCGCCCGCGTCCAGCGTCCGCCGATGTGGCGGCCGAGGCGATCCTGGCGGAGGCCTTGGCGGGCCGCTTAGGGGGGGAGGCAATCCCGCCCCCACCGTCGCCCGCCGCCGCCGCTGCCGCCGCTGCCGCCGCTGCCGCCGCCGCCGTCCTCGCCGCCGTCGTCGTCGTCGCCGTCGTCGTCGTCGTCGTCGCCGTCGTCGTCGTCGTCGTCGTCGTCGTCGCCGTCGCCGTCGCCGTCGTCGTCGTCGCCGTCGTCGCTGCTGGAGGCCTCCGGGGGCCGCCCAGCGGGGTCCCCCGCGGGGTCCGCGGCGTCAAGACCGAGGAGGCCGCGGCAGGGCGCCCCCGCCTCCTACCTGGCCGGCCGGGGCGCTTTTTTTTTTGCCGGGGGGGGGGGGGGGGGGGGCGGCTCGCTGCTTGGCGCCTGCTGCTGCAGCTGCTGCTTTGCGAGGCGAGGAGGGAGGGAGGAGGAGGAGAGGAGGAGGAGGAGGAGGAGGAGGAGGAGGAGGGAGAGAGAGGAGAAGAGGATGGATGAGAGGAGAGGGCAGGGAGGGAGGGAGGGAGGGAGGGAGGGAGGGAGGAGGGAGAGGTGAGAGGAGGAGGAGGAGGAGGAGGAGCAGGAATCAGGAGGAGGAGGATAGGTGAGGAGGAGGAGGAGGAGTGAGAGAGAGGAGGAGGAGGAGGAAGAGGAGGAGGAGGAGGAGGAGGAGGAGGATGCTGATGACGATGGTGGTCGTGTTGGTGCCCCGAGGCCTGCGCCTTTGACATATCTGGGCCGCGCGTGCCAGGCAGCTCTGGCAGGCAGGGCGCCGAGAGCGAGCGAGCCCCAGACATCCCCCATATGCGTTCTGCGTTCCTCTTGCGCTTCTTCGTCATCGTCTCTCCTTTTCCCCCCTGGCCACCCCCTGTGCGACGACGGTTGGAGCAGCGTCCGCACGTCTGTCATGTATGGTATTCGCTCGTCTGGAACCATCTTCTTCTCTGAATCCGAAGCCCCAGGGCTCCGGGCTCCCCGACCAGAGGCCTCCTAGATGGGGTCGGAGTAGATGGGGCCGGAGGATCGGGCCGCATCGCCAATACATCGGCGATGCATCGGCGATGCACCAGCGATGCATCGTCGACGTCGGCGATGCATCGGCGATGTTGATGTGAAACAAGTCGGGCTGCACATCGAGCCGCATCGCCGATGCATGGGCGACGCGGCGCGACCCTCCGACCCCATCTGCTCGGACCCGATCTAGGAGGCCCAGGCCGACTTCCTTCCCGGGGACACCGTTGTGCCCTGGACGGGGGTCCGTTCGTGGTGGCCCCGGGGCCCGGCAAGGGGCCCCGGATACCCCACGCCAGCGAACAGAGCGCGCGGGAACTCACATCCTCGGATACGGTGAGGGCATGGGATCAAGAACCCTTGGATGAGGAATCCAGGCTCTGGCAGCCGGTGGAACTCCGACCGTGGAGCGGCCATGGATCTCACCGCCGCCCTCATCAGATACGGAGGCCTCCAGGGTCTGCGGTCTCCAGGGCACCTCACTGAACCGGCGCCCCCACACTGTAGCTGGGGCCTCGATCTCGCGCTGCAGGAGCAGGCGAGAGGGGCCTCCCCGTTCCCGCTCCTCCCCTGGCGGCGCGCGGGAAGGGGGGCGGGGCAAGGAGGGCCTGCCCCTGCGAAGGCGGCGGGGGGCCTGCGGATGCTCCCCTCTCCCCCTTCCTCGTCTCCCGCCCGTCCTCCCTCCCTCCCTCCCTCCCTCCCCCCCCCGGAACTTCTCCTCCCTTGCGCCCTGCTGGCTGCCTCCCCTCTGCCCCTTCCCGCCTGCCCGCGTCGTGCCGCCTGCCCCAGCCTCCAGGGTGGCGCGCTCGCCGTCTGCTCGCTCGGCGTCCCCCGCTGCTGCGCAGCAGAGACTGCAGGGAGCTGGCGGCGCGGGCTCGAGTATCTCTCTTGCCGCAGGAGGCCCCCGCGCATCCGGCGCACGAGGACTCCTCTTTTCGGGGCGCCTGCGGCGCGGGTGTTGGGAGGGCTGAGACCCCTGTGGCGCGAGCGCGCTCTGGGGCGTCCCGCCCCCCGACAGATCCAGATGAAGGGGCGGGATGTGTGCGAGCGATGTAATGCAAGTCCCCTCCTCCTCCCCTCCTCCTCCTCCTCCCTCCTCCTCCTCCTCCTCCCTCCCTCCTCCTCCTCCTCCTCCTCCTCCTCCTCCTCCCCCTCCCCCTCTCCCCCTCCCCCTCCTCCCCCCTCCTCCTCCCATCCTCCTCTCCTCCCTCCTCCTCCTCCTCCTCCTCCTCTCTCCTCCTCCTCCTCCTCTCCTCCTCCTCCTCCCTCCTCCACCTCCTCTCCTCCTTCCCCCCCTCCCTCCCGCCCTCCCTCCCTCCCCTCCCTGCTGCTGCTGCTGCTCCTCCTCCTACCTCCTCCTCCTCTTCCTCCTCCTCCTCCTTCTTTCCTTCCCCTCCACCTGGAGAGGCGTAGGGCCCCGCAGAGCCTTCCGCGGACCCGCTTGAAGACCTTTAGATTCCGCCACGGGACCCTTCGCCCTTTCCCACTTTTTGCGCGCCAGCGCTGGTCCCTTTCAGGTGTCAGGCTATGCCCACCTCCCTGTCAGGTCCAGGAGGGGCAGGAGGATGAGGAGGTGGGGGAGGAAGAGGAAGAGGAGGAGGAGGTGGAGGAGGAGGAGGAGAAGGAGGAGCATGAGGAGGAGGAGGAGGAGGAGGAGGAGGAGGAGGACGACGACGATGATGATGCTGATGATGATGAGGAGGCGTTAGAGCGTTAGGGCCTTAAACCTGTGTCCCTCGCATCCTGCGACTCGATTGGAGGAGGAGGAGGAGGAGAAGGAGGAGGAGGAGGAACAGGACTGATGATGATGCTGATGATGATGGTGATGATGATGATGCTGATGATGGTGTTGAGGATGCTGATGCTGCTGTTGATGATGCGGATTATGCTGATGATGACGATGTTGATTCAATGATGATGATGATGCTGATGATGACGACGATGATGCTGCTGCTGAGGCTGATGATGATGCGATGCTGATGCTGATGCTGATGCGGATGCGGATGAGGATGATGATGAGGATGAGGATGATGATGATGCTGATGATGATGATGATGATGGTGATGATGATGCTGATGCTGATGCTGATGCTGATGCTGCTGATGCTGATGCTGATGTTGCTGATGATGATGACGATGATGATGCTGCTGCTGCTGATGATGATGATGATGATGATGATGATGATGATGATGATGATGATGATTATGATGATGAGGAAGAACAAGAGGATGAGTAGGAGGAGTAGGAGGAAACGGAGGAGGAAAAGGAGGAGGAAGAGGAGGAGGAGGAAGAGGAGTAGGCGGAGGAATGATAATAAACATACTAGGAACACGAGCAGGAGCAGGAGGAGGAGGAGGAACAAAAGCAGGAGCAGGAGCAGGACGAGGAGGCGGAGGAGGAGGAGGAACAGGAGGCGAAACGGAGGAGGAGGAGAAGGAGGGGGAGGAGGAGAAGGAGGAGGAGGAGGAGGAGGAGGGAGGAGGGGAGAGGAAGAGGAGGAGGACGAGGAGGAGGAGGAGGAGGATGAGAGGAGGAGGATCCGGAAAAGGAGCAGGAGCAGGAGGAGCAGAGCAGGATCAGGAGGAAGAGGAGGAAAAGGAGGAGGAGCAGGAGCATCAGGAGGATGTGGAGTAGGAGTAGTAGTAGGAGGAGGAGGAGGAGGAGGAGGAGGAGGAGGAGGAGGAGGAGGAGGAGGAAGAGCACAGCGTAGAAAAGGGGGAGGCGAATCCGACCTAGCCCTCCTCGACCCCAGCCTCTGGCCGATGCAGGTTTCTGAGAGCAGCCCGAGCCGCCAACTCATTGGTGGCGGGTATATAGGTACTCTCATCTATCACACACTTAGGCACCTCCCCGGGAGGTGCCTAAGTGTGTGATCGATGTGCGTGGCGACATAAACCCCTTCTAGTAGTGCTTAACCCCCCAGCGCTCCAATGGGTCCGAAGCGAGGATCCGACACCTTAGCACGAGCGAGACAGACCAGGCGAGCCCAGGACACGACCCAGAATGAACCTGTCAGCCCAGACATATTTATGCGACGTGAGCCGTCCACCCGCAGCCGTCCTCAACCAGGCCCCGGACCGGGATAGGGGAACCTGTCGAAGACTCTTTTGATCTCCGCAGCGACGATGGTTTTGATGCCAGCAGCACGTAGAGGCCATCGCTTGAGCAGCCTCCTTCATAATATCGGTTCTAAACAATCTCGCGGCCAGAGTTCGGAACGTGCCAGGAACGCAGACCTTTGTACTTTCTGTTCCGGGCGCTGAAATTTAGCAGCAGTAGCGGCATCAGCAGCGGCACGATGAAGCACATCCTTCCTCCCCTCCTAAGACCACATCAGCGGTGAAACTTTCGGGCCTCCCCATTCTCGTGGGGCAAGCCATGCCTTGACGCTGAACGTGCCAAGAGGAACGCGACATGCAGAAGCGAGAGCCCCCAGTTCCACGTCAATCACGTGCTTGGGCGGCGGCAGATACTGCGTGCCATGGCTGAGGACGGGCGGGCATCTAGTCTTATACATCATTATCGGCAGCGATGTGGCCTGAACTCCGCGACCGATCGCCTTCGCCCGAAACTGGAATTTAGCGCGAGGCCCAGCCCAGGAATCCACGACCGTAGCCTCATGCCCCGCTCACGTCCCAAAGTAGAACAGTTGTCCCTTCCACCTTGGAGCTTTTTCCACTGCGGTGTGCACGGCCCCAGGTATTCGTGCGCCCTCTTGCTGGCGTCCTTCATTCGCCGAGAAGCTACGGGCGCGAGAAAACATCGAGCTGGTTTTAACCGAAGGTGAGCAACGCGTTCAGTAGCTGTCCAGTAGCTTTCATGATTCGGGCCAGGGTCCGCAGAGTCGTCAACTGCTTCAAAACTCCACCAATATCATCAGCACACGCTCGGCCAAGACCTTTCTTCGGGGCCCCTACACTCACGAACGTGCCCTGCAAGCTAGGCGTCAGCGCCGTAGCGAAAAGCGGCCCCGAAAACAACATCGCCATGGAAAATGCCCGAGCGGATCCAGGAAGCGCGCCTTGGTGATCCCCTGCGTGACATCACTCCTTCGATGGCCGCATGCAGCAGCTCAGCGAAACGTCGCAATGCGCAGGGGCAACCCATCCTGCGAATCACTCGCAGAATGCATTGTTGAGACAGGCTGGGAAAGGCGTGCCCGTAGTCCAGCGCAAGAAATATAAGGCAGTCGTGGTCAGCTTCAGGACGGCTGGAATAGGCTCTGGCCGCCGCATCCAGTCAGACTACGTTCGCGGCAAGGCTGCGGCCTCTTATGGGTCCCCGTTCGGGC